GATAGTTTTTTGTGTTTGGGGATTTTTTTATTTCGTTCTTTTATTTTTTCACCATATTTCAAGAAAACTCATAGAAAGCAAAGAATGTATCCTATACTTTGCATCTCTCACAATACCCAGCACAAGACTAAGCACAAAGTAGATAATCAATGTTTGTGGAATAAATGCATAAATGAATGAGTACATACATGCACCTTGTGATCATCCTTAACACCTGCTCTTCTTTCCCCAAATTCTAGACTTGTGCTATTAAGACAATGGCCTAAAATGAATATAGATGTGTGTGATAAAAAATAAAACACTAAAGTCAATCACTGCATTTCTATTCCAATATTCTATTAGATTGAAATGGAAATAGAAACTCTGAATAAATGCAGAACAGACCATTATGTCTGGCATCAAGATGAATTAGAGCCCAGAATACTGAGCATGCCTGCAAATAAGATTAGCAAACACTATCAGTGATCTTTGAGGAAATTATGGAGAATAGGATAGGTGCCAAAAAGCTGGCACGGGCAAATGCTACTCTGATTTTCAAAAGGGGAGAGAAGTCAGAGCTTATCAGTTCCAGACTAGAAAATGTGGGCAAGGTTCTCAAGCAGATTTGTAAGGGGTTGCTTATGAGCACCTAGGAGAGGAAGTAATGTCCACTTGGAGCCAGCACAGGGTCATCAAGAAGAAATCCTGTTAAATTCATTTAATTTTCTTCTCTCTGACAAGGCTCCTAGCCTAATGGACTGGATAAATTCAGCAGACAAAATATATATGGTGCAATAGGGGGTGAGCAGCAAAAAAGGCTAATTCAACCCTTGGGCTACATTAATAGAAGTATTACAGACAGCATAAAGGAGGGGAGAGTTGTTGTCTTTCTTTGACCACATCCTGAGAATTGCATTTAGAATTTTGTACCACTCTTGAAGTATGATATAGGTAGTATGATTTTTTGGAGGTCCTTTTGGCACAACTTCTTTCAAAAACAAAAGCATTCATCCAGATATCTGGCATCTATTGAAAAATTGAAAGATCTAGCTGGGCCTACATTCCTAAATGGCAACATCTGGTTGAACCCAAGTAGTAACTGCCCATTTAGACAGTGCATGTGCTCTTAGATCCACCATGATCATCACCACCCCTTCTTTTATTGCCCTCACTGAGGTGGTGTAATCATCTCACTTGGCCAGCTCCACTTGGCCAGACACTAGAGTTTGCAGCCCAGGATGCAGTAGCTCCAAAGGAGAGTGAAGATGACAAGTGGTAGTGAACCATCTTACCTAAGCAAATGAGGATAATCAGAGTCAGGGCTATAATCAGAGGCTCCAAACACCCAATGGGCAGTCATAGAGAAGAAAAGTCTGGCTTGTTCTATGAAGTCCCAAAAAGAAGGAACTATAGAACCAATAGGTGGACGAGAGGCATATTTAACACAAGGTAAGAAAAACACTAACAAGAGCTGTCCAAAGGTAGATTATGTGGGCTTGGAAGGTGGTGAGTTCCCCATCACTGGAAATGTGCAAGCATATGGTTTACTATCGCTCTGCAGCTACATAAAGGAATTCAAGTATCCTTCGAAGCAACAGAAGGCATGAGTCTAAAATTTTTTACAATAGAAAAAATGCTGTTTTAAAACATTTGCCTTTGTTAGGTCAGTAAATTCTTCAAAAAGAGATAAAAGAGAGTAGGTCAACAAAGATGTCAGCATCATTTTTAAAAATCAAAAGTTTCCTTCACACAATTTACAGAGAATGTCTGTCTAACTAGATGGACTATTTGCACCAAACTGGCCAAATGATGCCCAGGGAGAAGGATAATTGGCATCAGGCATTGTTTTGGGTGATTGGTAAAATGTTCTTCAGAGGCAAGTGACAAAGGCGCCAGGATGAAAGTAAGAAGGTAAACAATGGGACGCGATCAAGAGGCAGTCAGCCCCCACCACAAAACTGCCATCTGCTAGTAACATCAATCCTTCCAGAGGCAGCTTCAGGCAAACAATGTATCAGGAACCAGGCCTGGGAGAAAACAGGCCTGTGACCTTGGGCAAGTCATTTAACATGAATGGGCCTCAGTTTCCTCATCTC